CAAAGTGTTTTGATAAGTTTACCTAATCTGTGCTCCACATCAGTCTTGACAATTTCAGAATATACCAAAAATTTAAGACTTGTGTCGCATCAGATAAATTTATCCAAAACGTGAGTAATCTTGCTTGGATGTTCATAAGACCACACGTGTCTGTGTGTACCGACTCCAATTGTCCTTTATGTCTATTTCATTTGGCTGATTAAATCCTTAGAGTTATCTATCCTTCAAAATAGGATTCACAAGTTTGGTTTAGGCTCCTCTGCCTCACAAGGTTATAAACCTTCTTTGACCAAACTTTGAATCTTATTTTGACTGATTATAACCCAAAAATAGACACTAAAAATATAATGAATCAAGAATAACAAATCTTCTCTTAACATTCAATCCAAAAAATGCAACATTAGTTTCTACATCTTGCAAATATTAAGAGTTTGTGATTATAGTATATTAACCATCTTTCAATGCACCAGAAGCAATCGCACATCTATTCAATTTTATAAAACTAGTTTTTCAAAATAACAATACAGTTTTTATAAACCATAAGTAAAACAAGAATTAGATTGCGTCTAACTTCTGTGCATAAAAATAGTTCTTTAATACTAATATCCTCATACTCTCTAATTTCAGATGTAATACTCCCATTGACTTAACTACAACCTTGGTATCAGGTCAAGTACAAATATATATCCATATCATCGAGGCTTCTGGATTCTTGAAATCCTTACAACGAATCGCAAACATGTTTAGTGGCTCCAGAATCTATCAATCAGGAATTAATAAACACAACCATATAACATGGCTTAATGATTAAATATACATTTTCCTATGCCACGTCATTGCTTAAATAGTTCGTCCTTCAGTGTCTTAGTTAGCGGGAAAAGAAACAGTTTCTTTCGCCCTCAACATACACTGCCTTATTCCCTTTAACCTTTTGAATACCCATGTTTTGTGCTAGCCTAATCCTTCTATTTTCCTTCCTCTTTCCTTTGCCCTTCCACTTAGGCCTAGAAGAAGATGATGTAAACTAGGTTAGATTGATAGGAACGCCCATACTTCTGATTATCCCTTCATATGTTACCAATTCTATAAGGATATCAACGAATGTGAACTCAAACTGGTTCCTTATTTAGTTCATTCTAAAAGAGTCAAACGAGTTTGGTAACAAGGCAATAATCATGTCAACTTGAAACTTTCCACCTAAGTCAGCCTTATTGACCTCCAGTTAAATTTTTAAATAATAAACAATCATTTTTCAAAATCCAATGTCACACTGGAGTTCCTCAGGCTATCTTGATGGTATTTAAATTTGACACAGTACTCAAGCATATACTTTATCTAATCTCACAAAAACATCTCATTGACATTTAACATGATGCTTGAAGAAAATAAAATAATACAAATGTTAGCTTTGGAGCATATTCGAGATAAACTCTAGAATATTGCACCAAGTCATATCATTTGCCCTATCTAATTTATTAAAAGCATTAATGTCAAATTCGGTATCTCAAAGTAAAAGGATTAAGTATAGGAGTAGTAAATACATTTTGTACCCTTACGTTGTGAATAAAATATCTAAGTTCCTTTTCCAGTCATTATAAATGAGGTCCACATACATTGAATATGCTAGCAAGCAGATAAAATGGATTAGACATAATTAATCTGAATATATATGCATTCATACAATATGCAAGGTGAATTATTAATACTATCATGCATACTTCAAATTAAAATGAGTTCGTCATCCACATAGTATAATAAATCTCAATAAAATAAGATTTCATTATCACTATTGGTGAACAATCCCTTTTAATTAATGCAGGTCCCTCAACTCCATAGCATAATAAATCACACAATCAATACATCAATAACTTATCCTGTTGAAGGAGTTCATTATTACCATTGTTAAGATTCATTTGCTATTAGGTGAGCACTTCCATTAAAATAATAATATGTGGGTCCTTTAACCATTGCATGAAAAATCGGATAACCAATACGCCAATAACTTATTCGGTTGGCGAAGTTCATTATTGCTATTCGCGGGCAAATCACATCATCTCCATATCTCTTAAGACAATGCCTTGTCTATCTATATGAAATGATTCCCGATTATGTTTAGTCTTTCTAAAATCACCGAGTGTAAACCACTCTGTTGGAGAGCTAACACTATTGATTTTAGATTGAGTGTATAACGTTATTAATGCTCTAATGAAAAATAAAACATTAAATAACTTGTCATTATAATCTAGACTCTTTAAATCATGCGTAAAACCTTATTTTTAAAGATCTAATTACAATGAACATTTCATATTTTTATTTTCATGAGACAACCATTCTTGTAATATTAAGACTCTTTAAATCATGCGTGGGGCCTTATTTTTGAAGATCTAATTACAATGGTTTTAATAACGAAGGCCATGGGGTAATGTATAAAAATTCTCGCTCCCACTCAATTTTTAATTATTTATAATTAGGGTTTTTAATTTATTCATTTACATGATATGATGCACGCAAAACGTCTTAATTTTAATCCAATTAAATTTAGAAAATATTTGGACTTTAAATGATTCACTAATATTTAATTTGAGGCACACTTTAAAAATAATTTACAAAAAATAATTTTTCGTTTCCCAATAAGTGCCCTCTAATTAATTAATAATCAAAACCAATTAATTTTCATAATTTAATTAATATAAATCAAGTAATTTAATTAAATATCATGGATCCAATGTATGAACAATAATTAATCAACAATTATTTATTCCATACATTTCATACATCACATAAATAAATAAATAATAGACAAAAAACAAATTAAATGGCCAATGGAATCAGCTTTTAACATTTAATTGCTCTAATAATTGCACAAGGGTCTTCCAACAGCTTGCAAACATCCGCAGGAGGCTGGTACGCGCTTAGTGAAGCAAAACAGCACCCAAAGTAGCAAATCAACAGACCTACGCGCCAAGCACACGCTCTGACGCGCTCCCACGCGCTTCCATGCGTTCTGATGCACTTCCACGCGTTCTGACGCACGCTCATGTGCGTGTGCTTTGAGGCAGCGTGTTGCACGCTTTTTTTGGGGCTGGAATGATTAGCGCGTGGTCCTCACACGCTGATGTTAATGAATGTGCATGATGCGCACCATTAGGTGCGCTACACTTGATAATTTCCCCTCTGATCTTGATCCGACAGCAGCTGGTGCGCGTGCATGTAGACCGCGCCACACCGGATCATCCGTCCACCTTCCGGCGCTGTCCCTTACTGCCGGCAGTACTCCGGTCGCCGGAAAATCGCCGAATAATTCCAAAAAATTAATAAAAATTTCCAGAAAATTAAATTGAGCCTCAAAAAATTCCAGAAAAATTTTGAAAAATTCAGAAAAATTCCAAAAAATTATTAAAGCAAAATTTAACCCTTTCAGACCTTCTTGAAGCTTCATAGCATCCTTTGATGAAGATTACATGGCTTTAAATAAATTTACAATTTGAAATACAATGGAAAAAATAAAATTACATCATTGAACTTTCAAACGGCTAAATCAAAGCCTTAATTACATTCATTCAAAGATAAAATTACATTCAATTAATCTATAAGCTTCATCCATGGCCCAACCATACATCATCATCCATTCACAATTATACATACATCATCATGTACCAATATATATCAATATATTAATTCATACATCAACATACATCAATAAATAAATATATGCATATCAAAATTGGATCCATGAATGATGAATTTTGATAAAAATATGATCTCTAGTAATGAATCAAACCATGCTCTGATACCACTGTTGGGAAACATGTTAGTTTTAAAAACTTTTCGAGGGATTTTCATTCACAAATCTTGATTCATCACATAGAGACAACTTTTATGCAAAAAATCCTCCATTAGATGAGAACGCTAACCCTAATTTCTAGAGAGAGAAAATATATTCCTTTTCCTTCTTCCAAAAAATCACCTCCTAAAATATACATAAACCATGTATATATATAGGCAACATAAAGATAAAGAAAAGGAAATAATAAATCCTTCTCAATCTCTAATTCACATGTCTTAAATCTAATAGAATTCAAATATCAAGTTGGGCTATAAGTGAGAATCCTTTGGGCTTATTATTTTATTGGCTACAATGAATTAATAATTGACCCGGTCTATGGACCCAATTCAAATAATTCATAAATTAATTTCTACTCCACTAAAAGAAATTAATTGAACTCCAATTAAATAATAAATAACCTTCTAAGTCAATATTAGAATTTGACCCCTCTATGCATAATTAGTTATCGGATAAATAAAGCCATTAATCCGACTACTTAATTAATATATTTATTTTGGTACCATTAATTATTTTTAGCTCAATCACAATAAAACATTTGTTTGATAAAAATAATTTAAATAAATAAATATACAATAAATCATTTTGTCTAAAAACACACGAAGGCCTTCGAATTTACTTTGTGATCAACCATAATCAATACAAAATAAATACAAGTAGCAGTGATGCAAATATTGAAAATATAACCCTCTAACTATTAATTACATAATTACCGAAAGTGTCGGTCTAAGGATTCCGAAGATTCTGCCGAACAAATCAAAGTAATTACTAATTAATAAAAGAGTCTATACTTCTCTCATGCTTAAGAGTCAAATGCCATAACGGAGATAGGGAGTAATTGCATACAACGGCTCTCGCAATATATCTCAGCCTAACGTGGATCCAGTTCAAGTCTTAATTAATTATGAGTTCATCCATAATTACCGACTATGAACAATTTATGATTACTATTTATATTCATATATTGATCGCCATCACATACATATATAAATATCTCTTGTAATCAAGTGGACACTATCAATTCTATAATGAATCGAAATATAATACATTGAATTCACTAATTGTATAAAGCATAAATATTTCAGAAACTTCAGGAACATATGTCACTATAATCCAAATAGGAATTTGCTATGCCAGGGCATATAAATCCCAACAGGTCTTGTGCAGTCGACAGATCTACAGGTCATTCCAATTTTCCAAAATGGATATTCCACTCTCCTCCTATTCCTTCAAGAATGATAAATATATGTTTGTTCTTTGGACTTTTAGGTATGCTCTGATAGATATGGGGTTGGACGCCCCCGACCTTCCAATGGGATGCTCTCCCGTATTCCTTTGAAAAGATATAAGTGATAAGCGCCGAATATTATATATTCAAGCGCCCTAAATTGCATTAGTAAAGTCCGTTGTATGTTAATTTATGTAGATTATCTTCATTTCTATGTTTTTATGCATTTTCAGGTTCATTGGCCAAAATGGAACAAGAATAAGGCCTTGTGGAATCTTGAGCAACAAAAGGTGCCAATGCTGAATTCTGGCAGCAGTAGAACCTGGGCTTTCCTCGCCATTTTGACCTTCCAAACTCGAGAACTGGACTTCCCTCATAACATGAAAGATTTATAGATCTGAATCAGCTTTCCAAATCTTCAAACGGTTTGTCATTCGGAGCTCGGAGCAGAGAGTTATGGCCTTGTTACCAGAGGCGCGCAGAACTGCCTGGCAGCAATGAAATTCTGCCTTGATCTTCATTTTCGACCAACCATCCTTAAGAATTGGATCTCCACCAAAACATGAAATATTTAGAGCTCTGAATTAGCTTTCTAAATCTTCAAATGGTTCATCATTCGGAGTTCGGAGTGCAAAGTTATGGCTGTTTAACCAAAGTAGGTCTGGGCGGAGCAAGTGAAGCATGGGCATTTTTACACTAAATTCGAGTGCTCGAGGCCTTGCTTAGAGTGCTCGAATTTTGGGCAGAATGCCCTTCGGAAATGGCTCATTTCAGCCCACTTGCACCTTGGTTTCTTCACTTTGCTTTCCTCTTTAATGAAGTGGTTGGAGATGTTGGTTGGTGACCTTTTGGTGGTAGATAAGGCAAGGAAGGCCACACATATCATTATCCCATATTCTACAAGATTAGAAGAGAGAGAAGAGAGCAAGGAGATAGAGTTCTTCAAGCTTGAAGAAGGGAGCACGAAAATGGAGGAGGTCTTCAAGCTTCTTCCTTCTTCCATTGCTCCTATGGGTAACTAAATCTTCTCTAGGGAGGTGATGAAGCCCCTCCCTTGTAAGCATGTTCTAGTGTAGATTTTACTTTTGGGATTTCAATGTATTATTGTTGGTGATTTTATGATCTAGAGCATCATATGTGTTGTAATGAATTCTAATGTCTATACATGATTATTTTGAGCTATTCATCTTGTCTTAGATGGTTTCTCTTCCTAATCATATTGCTTGCATTTCCATAGTGACAATGGAAGTTAGATCATAGAATGGTTTTAATGGCATGGAGTTTGAGAACTTTGATAAATCATTGCTTAGGATGCCCTTTGATGGTTTATACTTGATTCTTAACTTTGTGTGCTCTCATCATTTAATTAAGGGCTTGATAATCTTTGGCTTAGGGAGCATGTTGAAGACTACACCCTAGTTTAGGTAGTTCAAGCATGTGAATCTTTGATGGATTATTCTTGTTTTTGATTTAATGAACCTCTTGAGGATAGTATAGCAACCAAGGGTTGTTATGTGTCATGACCATCATTTATGTTGATTTTCCCAATTTAATCTCAATCTAGAATTTGTATAGGGTTGGAGCGGATTCATTTCCCTAGTTTTTCTCTATTTGTATTTCGTTTCTTTTTAATTCTTGCAAGTTTCTAATTTATGCAATTTCAATATTCTTAGCTTAAGTGACAAATAACAAAACCTTTATAAACCCTTCATCATTCTAGAAAGATTCTAGACACTAAGGTTGCTGTAAGACTAGCGCAGTCCCTGTGGTTCGACTTACCCGACCAATAGCCCTATTTTACAATGATTCGTGCTATTGCGAAGGTTGATGTATAGTTGATCAACCGATCAATTTTTGGTGCCGTTGCCGGGGACTGCAAACGGTTTAGCAACCAAAGTTTAGGGTTAATTTTAGTTTGATTGTGAATATTGTGTCTTGTGAATATTCCTTGCATGTTTTGATCATCTTTGTGTTGTAAGATTCTAGGGACTCGGAGCTCGCCGTGGGATTGCTAGCAAATTGTAAGTCTAGAGGACCCCAGGTAAGTCTCTTGACTTCTAGTTTCGCATTGTGAATATTGTGTATGTGTTTAATTTAGTTGTGAAGCCCTTGTCGAGGCTCTTAACTTGTTTATATTTTGTGTTCAAGCATCGGTCCTTGTCGTGGCCATTTACATTTTCTGTCTTGATAATTGAGGAGAAAGGGAACATCGTATGTGGAGTTGTGGTTGATGAATTGCTTTGTTGAGTATATGCTTTGTTGTTGATGTTCGGTCGTAGGTCACTTTCCTTACCCACAATCGATTCTCCCATTGATATTAACTCTCTTGAAAGAACTCTTAGACGGAACCTTAGGGAACCCACTCTTACAAGGGACCTTGAAACTGAATTCAATATAATGGGGGATAACGTAGGAAATCCGGGGAATGAAAGGGCTGAAATTCCTAATGTAGAACCAATGACTCTTAGAGATCATTTCATTCCTACCACCTATGCTTCTCCTTCTTGTATAGTGATGCCAAACATCGATGCAGCTCAATATGAGATCAAGTCTAGTACCATTCAAATGCTTCCATCATTTCATGGCTTTGATAATGAAGATCCATATAAGCACCTTGATGAGTTCCTTGAAATCTGTTCGACCATCCGGTTGAGAGGTTTTCCGGACAATGCACTTCATCTCCATCTTTTCCCATTCTCCCTAAAGGATAGGGCAAAATATTGGTTGAACTCCCTCGCTCCCAACTCTATTACTTCTTGGGCTCAATTGCAACAAGAATTTCTTAAGAAGTACTATCCGGTGAGTAAAACCAACCAAATGAGGCGTTCCATTCTAAGCTTTTCTCAAGTTGATGGAGAACAACTCCACGAGACTTGGGAAAGGCTACAAGATCTTCTTCGAAAATGTCCTCATCATTTGATCCCAAAATGGCAATTAGTGCAAGCTTTCTATGTCGGTTTGACCGACACCCATAGATTTATGGTTGACTCTTCTTGTGGTGGGATGTTCATGTCCAAGAATACGGATGAGGCTTGGACCTTACTTGAGAATTTGAGTGAAAATTCACTTCAACACAATTCTCGTAGGGCTCCGACCTCAACCACTCCAAAGAACACCAATCCTTGTCAACAAAAATCAATAAGGGAGGAATCATCTCAAGTGGATGCCATAGCTCATAAATTCTACCAATTGATGGCACCACATCTTCCTCCTTCATTGTCTCAAAATTCGGCAAGTTCGGTTTGTGCCTCATGTAATAGTCCATTTCATCTCTCGGAAGATTGCCCCACACCGGAGCAATTTCCCAATCCCAACCAAGAGCAAGCTAATGCCATGTTCTCACGGCCCGGGAACAATCCATATTCAAACACCTACAATCCGGGTTGGCGAGACCATCCGAATTTTTCGTGGAGGCAACAAGCCCCACAAAATTCCCAACTTCAAAATCAAGGGCCTCAAAATCAGCCCTCTTCTCAATATCAAGGTAGGCCTTTCCAAGCCTCTTCAAGCTACCAACCTCCATACAATCCAAATGTCTCCACTCAACCTCCTGTGAATCCAATTGATGAGATAGTGGCTGCAAACAAGCAAATGATGGAATCATTAAATGTGCAAATGATGGAATCATTAAACAAGTAAATCATAGATTCCAACAAGCATCTCTTGACATCCTTGCAACCTACTCTCCAAATGGTTCACTCCCATACTCAATCCATAGCTAGGCTCGAAAATCAAATGGGACAAATAGCTAACCAAGTGAACCAACTTCTTCAAAAAGACAAGGTTAAGCTTCCCGCTCAACCATTTGAAAATCCTAGAGGAATGCATGTGATTGATGAAACCCCTCCTCCGAGTGGGCCGACTCATGAACAAGTTCAAGCTATCACCACCCTTCGGAGTGGTAGAGTGGTTGACAACAAGGTTGATGGAGACGCAAGTGAGAAAAACCCTCCGTTGAAAAATCCAAATTCAAGCTCTTCAAGTCCAAATCTAAGTTCTTCTTGTCCAAATACCATTCACGGAAGTCCCACGCATGTCACCCCAAATGTGGAAACTACTTATGAGCCAAAAGCTCCGTTCCCTCAACGTCTTCAAGAGTCGACACATTTTGGGAATAAGAATTGCAAAATTCAAGACATGTGGGAGGTCTTTAGGCAAGTAAAGATCAATCTTCCTCTCTTGGATGCTATCAAGCAAATTCCTCCCTATGCAAAATTCCTTAAGGATTTGTGCACTCAAAAGCGCACTTCCAGAAGTCATTTACCAAAGAAAGTGAGGTTAACCGAAAATGTTAGTGCGATCATTCAGCACAGCACTCCTCCGAAGTATAAGGATCCGGGTGCCCCCACAATCTCTTGTGTCATTGGTGACAACAAAATCGAGAGGGCCCTCCTTGACTTAGGAGCTAGTGTGAATTTGATTCCATATTCGGTTTACCTACAACTTGGTTTGGGAGATCTAAAGCCAACTCCGATAGTGTTGCAATTTGCTGATCGATCTATTAAGCAACCACGGGGAATTATTGAAGATGTGATCATAAAAGTGGACAAATTCTACTTCCCGGTAGACTTCGTGGTTCTTGATACGGAACCAGTCCATGATCCAAGAAAACACATTCCCATAATTCTCGGACGTCCTTTTCTAGCTACAGCTAATGCTTCCATTAACTGTAGATCTGGATTGATGGATATCTCTTTTGGGAATATGAATGTTAAGCTCAATATCTTCAATGCTGTGCAACTTCCTTCAGATGACAATGAGTGTTTTGAAATCACTATTGCTGATGAACACATTCAAAATCCAATCCCACCTCCTTTAACGGAGGATCCCCTACATGCTTGCTTGGTCCCTTTTGATTTTGAGGATTTTGGTGTGGACAAATCCATTCGGGAAGTCAACTCCTTGCTTGATATTCCATCACCATTTTCCTCTCCTTTATGGGAAGCACCAAATCCATCTCTATCGTGGGATTGTCCATCTCCTTCCATTTCTTCACCGGAGTTACCTCAACATTTTGAGGGTGAACCACCGGACAAAGGTAAGGAGAATGTTGACAAGTTGCTGAAAATTCTTCCAATCATTCCAGCCCAATCTAGAATCATTGTCCATGATACTCAACCTGTGAACAAACCATTTGAGTACAATGAGGTATATGACTTGGAGATTGCAAATATGGAAGGTCATGATCCTACCATTGTTAGTCAAAACAATGACATTCAACGAGCCTCCATAATCTCGAACAAGCAACACCTTTGCTTAAATCTGAAAATAAAAGAAGTGAGATTAAAAGCGATGCTCAAATCCTCTAAGGCCAAACTTGTTTCTCTTTGGAAGGATCAATATCCCTCACCATTCATTGATCTAAGTTTGAGACCATATGAAGGAGGCAAGTTGCATACGGAGCGTTAAGGATCCATCTCTCCAATGGATCCTGATCCTGGTTCGTCTAGCTATCGACATTAAATTTAGCAAAGCAAGGGAAGAAATTCTTTCGATGTTCCAAGCTTCCCTACCTTCTCAAATTGCTCGTGCCTTGAAATTTTCTGGGAAATGGTTTAGAAAAGCCAAAAATTTGATTTTTCTGAAATGATCTTCAGTTGCGTTCCGCAATTTTAGACTGGCCTCTTAGACCTTCTCAGCTCTAATTTTCATTCCCGGAAATTTCCATCGCTTTCGAGCAAGTTCATAGGATCTTTGGCATGCAACTCATGTGCACAACCTCTCATTTTCAACGCATTGTTGGATCATGGTTCCCCAAAATTTTCCATGCATTGGAGATGAAATGCAAAGTTTGAAAATTTTTCATCTAGGCATTAGAAATGTTGAGCAATTCGACAATTTTTCCAAAAATTTTCCATCCATGCAGTGGAATGGACTGAATTTGCAAATTTTAAAATTTTTTCCATGCTTTAGAGATAAAGTGCTAAGTTTTAAAAATTTTCCATGAATTGTGTGATGTTGCATTGAAGAGATATTCAAAAATTCCAAAATTTTCAAATTCATTCAAAGTCTGGAAATTTTCCAAAGATGATGCAATTTGAAAATTTTCTTCAGTTCATTCAAGCATTATGAGACAATTTGAAAATTTTCAGAAATTCTTCCATTCCATGGGAATGACATGCAAAATTTTTTTGTTTCCAAGTCGCCAACTTGCAAAATTCCTGGAATGATGTTGCAAATGCATCAAATGGCATGAAAGTGCATGCAATAGTGCTCACTGTCTCCCATGGAATGAGATTGCAAATGCAAATGCATGGAATTTCCATGCATGGACTCCATTTTGAACAGCTTCCATTTCCATGTTGCTCACATTCCATATTCCATTGCAACAAATTCAACTTCCATGGTGCTCACTGTCTTGCATGTTTTCCCTTTCACTCCTTGTTTCAGTCCTCACAGCCGAGCTCACCCCCTAGCCTACTGAGCCAATTTCGTGCCCTCCAAATCCCATTCAGATTGCTCCAAATTACCACACCAATTTTGCATGCTCACTGCCCAAGTTTGGAGCGCTCTAGCTTCCATTTGGATTGCTCCAAACTTCTCCACCATCATTCCGAGGCTGCTGCTTGTATTTAGAGCACTCTAATTCCATTTTAGAGTGCTCTAAATGTGAACCAATCTCATCCCAAGCTACTGCCTTCATTTAGAGCACTCTAGCTCCTATTTGGAGCACTCTAAATGTGAACCATCAATCCCACGCTCACTGCCTTCATTTAGAGCACTCTAGCTTCCATTTAGAGTGCTCTAAATTTTCAGCCCAACATCCCGCAACCACTGTCTCCAGTTCGAGCACTCGAAGGCCAAGCTTCGAGTGCTCGTAGCTGCTATCCCACTGTAACCCAACATACCGAACTCTCTGTCTTCAAATCGAGCACTCGAAATCCCATTTGGAGTGCTCGAAATCTCTTTCTCACCCAAGGCATCCAACTATGAAACCAACCACCATCGGCACCATCCAAACATGCATGCCAACCTTCCTAAACCACCTCACACAACACTAACCCCTCATCATCCTCAACCATGCATGCCTTCCACGGCCACCCTCCCAACACAATCCCAACCATTCACATCAACACCATGCACACACCAACCAAACCGACCACCACCCCAAACTTCACCCCTCTCTCATTCACCAACCAACCCTCACACAAGCCTTCTTTCTCTCGGCATCTACACACACCAACACCATGCAACCCCCATGCATGCCCCTCTCGGCATCCTTTTTTTTCCCAACCATCCAACCAACCTCACCAAACTTCCTCACCTCACCCCACCATACATGCCACCATCTCTCTATCGGCACCTTCACTCCCTAACCACCCACCACCCTTCGCACTCAATCAACCCCATCCTCAATTCCTCCACAACACCCTCATGCATGCCATTCAAAAAAAAAATGGCACACTTTTGGCATTCTTTTGCTATCCATTTTACACTTGTGGCTAATGTCTGCATTTATGTTTTGTTTGGATTTTTATCTTGCACTACAATTCAGGTTAGTGTTTTTAATTCTGTTTTGATTTTCCTTAAGAGCCTATGCTTTTACATTTGTATATTAGTTGTGTTTTGCTAGGTCTTCATGTCCAAGTTTGGGGGAAACACTTGCACATTCACATAGATGGAAACCTTTGCCTTCCTCACTCCACTTGGTATTATTGTTCTTTAACCCTCTCTGTTCTTATTTTCATTTACTTGTCTTCTCACATTGAGGACAATGTGACATTCAAGTTTGGGGGTGCATTTATGCATTTTTGGTTTTGCATTTTTGCTAAGCAATGATATTGTAATTTGAAACCTGTTGGAGATGAAGCATATGTTTAAGACCTTGTGTATAGAAGCAATTGTGACATTTTTGAAAATAAAGAAAAATTTGAGTTGAAATGATCATGTAGATTCAAATTAGTCTATATAAATGTCTCAATTAGATTCTCGCCGGATTTGACACTCTTTTAAGCTTCACAATGCACAGATGCACATTGGAAACTTAACTGTGAGGCATGCAACTTGATTGACCTTGATCTTGGCCTAGTTAATCTGATTTGATGAACCTAATGGATGAATACTTTTGGCATGAATCTAACAAAAAAAAAAAAAAAAAAAAAAAAAAAAAACTGAGAAGGAAAGAAAATAATGACCAGTTGACGTTCGTAGCCTTTCCAACTCGAGCTATTAAGCCCTAGGAGTGTCTCTACACTTAGCACCCTAAAGCCGTCTGGTTTGGGAGTTGTTGGCCTAACGCTTGCTACAAGGGTTGGTTAGAAAGCTTAAGGGACTTAAACATTGTACGGTCATTCAAAAAATAAACTGGTAATAAACATGGTTTGCTAGAGTTCGTAGCCTTTCCAACTTGAGCTATTAAGCCTTTTGGAGTGTCTCTACACTTAACACCCTAAAGCCATCTGGTTTGGGAGTTGTTGGCCTAACGCTTGCTACATAAGTTGGTTAGAAAGCTTAAGGGACTTCAGCATTGCACAACCATTCTATGTTTCGCTTATGAGTTACAATAAATTGTCAACAAGCAATAAAAGTTGTCTTGTAAATAAAATCATGCCTTAGGAACCTCATTTAAAGGGGAATTCAATTATTTGAAAACTTGTGCTTTGGAATTGGAAAAGAAAGTAAAAGCTGCATGTTGAGAATCCAATTCACTTTCACTGAAGCTAGAGTTGATTTCCATTCAAGAGATGATAATTGAGTTATTTATATAGACTTTGATGTTGATGCATGTATGTGGAAATGTATTTAGCCATTTTTTGTATCAATGCTTCATATATGCAAGGTAGTCTTACCAATGACCCCATCTCCAGCTCTTTTTCTATTTCAAGTTATTTTTGAGCAATGTATATATCTTATTTTACCATGGATGATATTTTTGCAGTAGCAAGCCCATGGTTGTCTTTTCATTAAATTTTTCATTGTAGTTTTGCTAAGGGACTAGCAAAATGTAAGTTCGGGGGTGTGATAAGCGCCAAATATTATATATTCAAGCGCCCTAAATTGCATTAGTAAAGTCCGTTGTATGTTAATTTATGTAGATTATCTTCATTTCTATGTTTTTATGCATTTTCAGGTTCATTGGCCAAAATGGAACAAGAATAAGGCCTTGTGGAATCTTGAGCAACAAAAGGTGCCAATGCTGAATTCTGGCAGCAGTAGAACCTGGGCTTTCCTCGCCATTTTGACCTTCCAAAATCGAGAACTGGACTTCCCTCATAACATGAAAGATTTATAGCTCTGAATCAGCTTTCCAAATCTTCAAACGGTTTGTCATTCGGAGCTCGGAGCAGAGAGTTATGGCCTTGTTACCAGAGGCGCGCAGAACTGCCTGGCAGCAATGAAATTCTACCTTGATCTTCATTTTCGACCAACCATCCTTGAGAATTGGATCTCCACCAAAACATGAAATATTTATAGCTCTGAATTAGCTTTCTAAATCTTCAAACGGTTCATCATTCGGAGTTCGGAGTACAAAGTTATGGCTGTTTAACCAAAGTAGGTCTGGGCGGAGCAAGTGAAGCATGGGCATTTTTACACTAAATTCGAGTGCTCGAGGCCTTGCTTAGAGTGCTCGAATTTTGGGCAGAATGCCCTTCGGAAATGGCTCATTTCAGCCCACTTGCACCTTGGTTTCTTCACTTTGCTTTCCTCTTTAATGAAGTGGTTGGAGATGTTGGTTGGTGACCTTTTGGTGGTAGATAAGGCAAGGAAGGCCACACATATCATTATCCCATATTCTACAAGATTAGAAGAGAGAGAAGAGAGCAAGGAGATAGAGTTCTTCAAGCTTGAAGAAGGGAGCACGAAAATGGAGGAGGTCTTCAAGCTTCTTCCTTCTTCCATTGCTCCTATGGGTAACTAAATCTTCTCTAGGGAGGTGATGAAGCCCCTCCCTTGTAAGCATGTTCTAGTGTAGATTTTACTTTTGGGATTTCAATGTATTATTGTTGGTGATTTTATGATCTAGAGCATCATATGTGTTGTAATGAATTCTAATGTCTATACATGATTATTTTGAGCTATTCATCTTGTCTTAGATGGTTTCTCTTCCTAATCATATTGCTTGCATTTCCATAGTGACAATGGAAGTTAGATCATAGAATGGTTTTAATGGCATGGAGTTTGAGAACTTTGATAAATCATTGCTTAGGATGCCCTTTGATGGTTTATACTTGATTCTTAACTTTGTGTGCTCTCATCATTTAATTAAGGGCTTGATAATCTTTGGCTTAGGGAGCATGTTGAAGACTACACCCTAGTTTAGGTAGTTCAAGCATGTGAATCTTTGATGGATTATTCTTGTTTTTGATTTAATGAACCTCTTGAGGATAGTATAGCAACCAAGGGTTGTTATGTGTCATGACCATCATTTATGTTGATTTTCCCAATTTAATCTCAATCTAGAATTTGTATAGGGTTGGAGCGGATTCATTTCCCTAGTTTTTCTCTATTTGTATTTCGTTTCTTTTTAATTCTTGCAAGTTTCTAATTTATGCAATTTCAATATTCTTAGCTTAAGTGACAAATAACAAAACCTTTATAAACCCTTCATCATTCTAGAAAGATTCTAGACACTAAGGTTGCTGTAAGACTAGCGCAGTCCCTGTGGTTCGACTTACCCGACCAATAGCCCTATTTTACAATGATTCGTGCTATTGCGAAGGTTGATGTATAGTTGATCAACCGATCAGTAAGATCTCCAATCTCTCTTTCATGCACTGGTTTTTGAATGAATCAAAACATGAGACTAATGAGATCACTACCCACATGTTCAGGTGCGGATATTCTGCTTGAATTTGTTGAGAGAGTGAAATTTTTAAAGTGACGAGGGTCAAGGCTAGGGCTGTGAGGACAGATTACAGCCAGAGATGGTTTACACTCGTGCACTCTACTAGCTAGGCCTTTCATTTTCCGTGACTATCAAGATATTGCAGACAATGTAAGATCCTTTTTCACTCTTCATACATAGGATGCTTCATAACGAATGTAACATTGAATTTTGGTTCGTCTGTAGGCTGCGACTGCACTAGAGACTATCCGAGACATAACAGTGGCTTCTCATCGATCTTATAGGAGACATGACATGTCCTACCATTGATGACCCTCTTTATAATCGATACCAGAAATTGGGCTGCTCGGTTTCTGCTCTTGAGAAGAATTCTAAAGATTACAAGATGATCCTGAACTATTTGGAGAAAACATATGAACCAGTCAAAGTTTGTAAGACTTGTCTCCCTACGTTGTATGCATGCATATATATGGTTGAATTATTTTCACATGTTGTTAGGGAATATCTTCTCATTGTCGAATGCTATATTTTAGGGCTATGGAGTGTCGGTTGACAAAGTTTATGCAGTCGAACCAAGTGCTTGCCCTTCCTATGATGAAATCAAGAAGTTACCAAACAAAGCCCTCCTATGGTGTGGTATGCAGCAGCATGTGGTTCTTATTTATTTAGCTCTCTTACCCCATAATTTCTTCTCTTATTGTTGTTTAGGTACTCAGAGTTCAAATTTGTTAAGACATTTGCATAAAGGTTTTCTGCCCGCCATATGTTCCCTTCCTGTTCCTGGATATATGATAACATATTGCAAAAACTAAAATTTTCCAGTTTGGGTGATTATGCTTGCTAATATTGCACATTTTTTTGTTATAGTTTCACAAGGCTATCGTTTGCTCGGATGCTGCAGCAGAGGTTGCTAGATACAGCTTTACTGGAGTCAACAGGCCAGAGGGGTTCTTGCTTTTGGCTGTTGCTTCTTTGGGGCAGCAAGTTATAGAGTTCAGGAGCCCACCTGAGGTATATATGTGAATTGGTTGGTGTTTTTATTTTATTTTATTTTATTTTTTTTATTTTTTATTTTTTCCAAATCTGAAGATGTAGTCTGTTCTTATAATTTTAACCTCAAAATCCAATTCATTGAACCAGGACACGAAATGGTTGGAAGAGAAGAAGATGGGAGTGAAGGGGTTGGGGAGAAAAAAACGGATGAATCAGAACACTTTATCTGGAAAGACAACATCAAGGTGCCATGTGTTGATGATGGTTCATGAGTAAGATGAGGAAATCACTCCACGTAAGCCAAGAAATCTGAGATCAGTATCCAAGTGGAGATCCAAGCAACACAATGGATTTTCTAGGTATGGAGATTAAGAAATGGAAGGCTGACCTCGGTACCATGTGAGCTCGAGCTTATCAGAGGATAGCTATTAATGCGGTGGTTGTTGTCTTAAAGGCTCCTTAACACCCTTGATTAACACCCCTTTTTATAGTGTTTACCTCCTCGGTCAATGTCTTTTAGTCCTTTGGCTGAGTCCACTCTTACCCAAAGGTTTGAGGAACTCTTCTTCAGACGGATGAGACATTGATGGAAGGGCCGCGACGCTTTGCCCCCCCGTGAAAAGAGGTAACGGCACTCCCTAATTAATACGGGTCTTATCAAACGTCTTTCGCAATTAATGCATTCCTTATCTTTCCTTTCTCGAGCTTAGGTACCGAGTATCCTTTCCCCCTTGTGTTGGCCTCGGGCTGAGGCGAGCCCTTGGATCTCAACCACCTATCTACATATCCTCAGATTCCCGTGCTTCACGGGGGGGGGGGGGGGGGGGGGGAGAATAGGTTCCTTTCAAGGTCCTGCCTTCATGACCTCGCAGGGTCTTATCCCAACTTTATCCCAAGGTCTTCTTTGCCGAGAAGGGAAACGCGTAAAACAGGTCAGTCGAGGTCACTCTTTCAGAGAGCACCCTCGAGCGAGCCAGGGGGGTAAGGAGCCCATCCGACTGGAGCGGGGCGCATCCACAGTAAAGGAAGGGTAGCGACCCCTTTTTCGGCTAGTAAGTTCAGTTATTGGATAGGTAGCTCGAGAATACCTAATCCACCGTGGGCACGCCAGGTAAGCACTGGCCAGTTGTGCCTATGTTATAGAGGTGGCGCCACTTAATCATCTATCGTGGCGCGGTCATCAACATTTTACCCCCCTGCTCGAGGTCGTTAGGAGGGGCGCTCGAGCAAACCACTAAATTTAATTTTGTCATTATTTCCACCGAAGGGTTATGTCATTTAAGTATCAAACAGTCATATCACTTTAGGGGTCGTGTCGCTTTGGCTTCTCAATCCACGTGTCGCCTCTTTATTGGTGTGTCAGACTAAGACGCTTCGGGTCTTGAGTCGCGTCCTTTCATTAGCTGGAGGCGCAATACTTGGGATGCCGAGCCTCCATATTTATAGCATTTTTTTTTTTAAAAAAAAAAAAAAAAGGCACCAACAACACTCATCCTTACTCGCCCCTCGCAAAAAGGCTTCTTGTTCAAAGCAAAAGACAATGGCAGTTCATGATAATGTCCCTGATGTCCCTTCTTTGAATGAATAGCGAGTGGCCCCATACTTTGGCCCGAGCGATACCTTCTGGGTCAATAGCGATGCATTAAGTGAGGTAGATGAGGCCCAGGAAAGCACACTCTTGTTCAAGGGAGAGCCTTACGCGCTTACAGGGGCGCCCATTTAGCCTAACTCAGTTTTACGATTCAGGGTAGAGCGCGTTGACTTTCCTCACTCCAGCGTTGCCTTTACGAGTCAGACCGGTCATGGACTAAGGTGGGAGTTATAGACAGACGTAATTCTATCTGGCGTTGAGTTCTCAGGGATTTTGTAGGCTTCAAAAATTACGGACGCTGTCCGAAACACCCAAGAGTTAACCATACCTCGGGATGTCCATGATCTCGCCCTCCTATTGTCTCGGTGAAGCCGAGATACCCATACCTTTATCATTTCTTGGGGAGAATTTACCCCTACTTTGGAAGAATTGGTGCAGCTTATGTGCTTGAATGTTTTTGGTGAACATGACCCCAGCTCTTAGTCCATCCCTGAAGACGAGGTCAAGCTTGCCTCCAAGCTTCGCAAAGGTGTCACCTCGGCAGGAAAGATAGCCTCGCGCTATCAAGATACTGGACTTCTTGAGGAATTCCTGGAGATGGGCAAGAAGTGCACGTTTGTATCGTTCTTACGCTATTATTTTCGAGACTTCCCCCCCCCCCCCCCCCCCAAGGTCAAAAAGGGGAGGAATCTTTTAGTGGCCTGAAGTGCAAGGACTCAGCTTGCCTTGCCGCTTATATCTTGTCGTGGCTATCCAGGTTTGTTTTCCCGGGGCCTCCTGATGACGGGCCTTGTCCTGACCTTATTCCCTTGGCCGTCAGGCTATCTTATGGTAAAAGCCTGCCTTTAGCCGCTCTGTTCTTGGGTACTCTTTACCATGAGCTCGACTTGGCGCATGCCCATATGGAGCGCTCCGTTGGTCGCATAACCATGGTTTCTCCCATCAATGCAATTTTTCTTCAGATGTTCTTGTATGAGCATTTTCCAAATTACGGCCCTCGTCCAATCACGCTGCCTCGTGACAGTGGCTTGAAGGGGTCTTTTCAGTGGCACAAACTTGGCACGAAAAAGAAATTATCCGAGTTTATTGACAGGGAGAGTTGCTTCGTAGCTCGCCCATACACCCATGGACCTCGTGTTGAGTGTTGCGCGTCGGGGGACAGCATGGTAATTTCAGGCAAGTCTTTGAGGCATACTCTAGCCTTAACCATCATAGCCATGACCCTGCCTTGCTATCTTCCCGTGCTTCTTCCCCCTCATTCGGGCGTAGGTAAGGTTTACAACCCTCACAGGGTGGCTCGACAATTCGGGTTAGATCAGGGGCTTCTGAGGGATTATGGCTATGGGGCGTGACAGGATCACAGCACCTATGCTCTAGGCTTTTCACGCTTCCTCGATTCTGAAGAGGCAGATCTCCTCGGGGATCACCAAATTCTTCATGTGCCCTCCACTCTCAGGGTTGGGAGATCGGCTGTAAAGACAAGGGCATATTGGAAAGAGATAATTCTCTCTTTTAAGAAGTTTATAAGTAGCACTCCTATCCCTGTCCCTGCTCGAGCCCTGCTAAAAGGTGATGCCTCATTTCGCACTTTCAAGAATACATCTATATCCGCGAAGGGTAAACCTTGCAGTACCACGGGTTTACTTCCTCTACTCTTACCAACTGCAACCGCGCCCGTGATAGCCCTCCGTGCTACTAAGGCGCGCCGGGACAAACATAAGGCTGATCAAGACGTTTGTACCTTCATACCTACAGTCGCTTCTTCGAAGCGAGCTAAGGTAAAAAAACATATTCTACCTCTGCTTTCTTATCGACTTCATGCTGACTAGTTCATTTTTTTATATATTAGGATGTTCCAAAGGCTCCCGCTACTACAAAGGATCCTATTTCCTCTGAGGTCCCTCATTCGCCAGCCCGAGCTGGGGTTTCTATAAGAACAAGGTCTCGTACTAGCCGCCCAAAAAGAACTCCTGCAACGACTGTGCCCACTAGCGGTGCTCTTCGTGCTCTCAAGGCGGATACCAGTTTAGCTATTCCCTCTGATCCTCTTCACACTTTGGCAAGCGTTCTCGAGGACCCTGAGCGCGTGGATAGGGAAATACTGTCCTCTGACTTGAACCCTCCTCCTCCCTTGCAGCACTGGGTGGGCAAAGAGTTGATCCTTCTAGCGCGCGGCTTGGGTAGGTCGGACGAGGAGACAGGGGAGGTTAATACCTCAACAGATCCTGTTATGGGAATCTTTAACATCGAGCGAAGCCCAAGTCGTTCGCCATCCCATGGATGTACTATCCTTTCCTCTCCCCCCCCCCCCCCCCCTTTTTTTTTTTTTTTTTTTTTTTTTTTTTTTTTTTTTTTTTACCAACGTCTGATGCAGCTGAGGCTGCTGCTGGTTCAGAGGGTCATTTCCCTGATCGCAGGGGCGAGGACATGGATACCAGTTCACAGGTCGCGGTTGTTCATGTGCTATCTCGAGAACCTATTGCCGAGTTACAGCAGATGGTAGAATCCGCCATCTGACCTCTTCCAGTTCCTGAGGATGACGATTTGGATGAAATGGAGAGCTCAAATACTAGTGGCAATTCATCTCATGGTGAAACTTCAGAATCGAACAATTCAAGGCATGACATCAACCAAGCTGAGGGTAACGGTTCGATTCGGCCGGCATCCAATGAGGATACAACCAAGAGAGAGGTTAACTTACCAACAAGAGGTCAGACCGAGAATCTTACAGAGCTAGATCAAGGGACGGGTGACCCCTCACCCATGCTATGGGGTGGAATCACTGTCTCCGCCACCGAGGCTAAGATTTTGGACGAGGTTCAAGCTAAATACCCCAAGACCTTTGGGGATCTTGAAGGGATGCTGCCTTTGTTCCTGGACTTTGTGTATAAAACTACATGCGAGTTGGTGATCGGCCTTCGAGAAGCTCGAGATCGTACCTTGGTCAAGAAAGATTTTAATTCCCTCAATCGTCTCCTCACCAATTTGGGCCGAGCGCAGATCAACGTAGGCTGGGCCCCTGACATCCTTTTGCGAATTAAGGCTTTCGGGGAACACAAGAGGATGGTAGAAGAAATCAAAGACCTTCGTGACCATGTCATTGAAGAGGAAGGAGTGCTTTACAATGAAAACATCTGTTTGGCCGAGCTGCAGGAGTAGGTGGACTCAAGAGAACAACATATCACTTCCTTAAAGAATGAGATCGAGCGCAGGTCATCTCAACTTGGCCTGCTGTTTTAGTTTTAGGCGATTTACCCTGATGTTGTAATGCCTTGTACTGGGGGGGGCAAATTTATGCAATTTGTAGACTTTGAAAATATATTAGTCTTTTATTAATGGAACAGCTTCTCTTTTTATCGTTGTCCATTTTTCCTCTTTTTTTAGCAATGTTATAGAAATTATTACAGGTGACCTTTACATGTTGTTAGATGAACCAGAAATCATAAATGGTTTTTTATCCGAGGCCAGGTGATACCATGGTTACTATAAGTGACCTCTTCCAGAGTCAAGGTAGACTAAAGGTTCTTACAAATGATCAGAGTGTTTTTTTTTTTTTTTTCTTTGCATGACCTCTACCAGAGATGGGGTTAACCAGGAATTTTTTTTTTTTTTTGATTCAGGAAGTAAAGACAAAAAATACATGCCAGGTATTAGAAAATGAGAGGGAGGCGCA